GCCCAAAAAAATAGCAGGAAGAATAATCGTTCCATCTCTCAATAAAAATTTTATGAAACTCATTAGGCACCAATGATAGCCAAGGGCAATTGCAAACCCTAAAGGGCTGAACTAGAGAATACCTGGATTTGAAAAAGAAAAATGCACTCCCCACACCAGAAAGTACAGACAGGATTTTATATTTAAAATTTTATGTTATGAATTTTATATCAGTACAAATGCAACAAACATAAACAGACATCTTCGTAGATTTTTTATCATTTATATCAGTCCCTTACTACCAGTCCAATAGCTTTGAGGCCCAGTAGACTCAATTATAAGCAGTAGCATCTCTATTCTCAGGTTCAACATCTGGAAATTTTCCCATGGACATTTCTACTTGTATGCACACCTTCTACTCACCTGCCTTTAATGAGTCCTCTAATTGACCCTATTCTATCTCCTTGTGATTTTTGTAGGTCATCTCTCTGCCTATTCTCATCCTTCCCAGCTTGATCCATGACTGCTCCAGGTTGCAGCACGGATTTGCCCAGCACCTGTGCACTTCTGAACCCCAGCTGACCCACTTTGAGCTCCCAGGCTCTGCCCCTGGGCATGCTTCCTGCTGGGCAGGCACCTGGTGAGCCATTTGCTTGGCTTCTCTTGCAGCTTGGCTGCTCTTCTCATACCCACCTCACCTCTCATCTCCCTGGGCTATAATGGTGTGAACATAAATCAGTATTTACTTGCTGACACCTATGAACATTCCACATAAAAATATTTTATTTCTAAGCCAGGAAACAAAATGAAATCAAAGACAAGCTTCAAGGACAATACATTCTTACAGTCTTTACTAGTTGAAATGGGGAATTTTAATAAGAGATAAGTTTGCTGTTTTATCATTATTTAAGTTATTAAAATGCAAAATTTTGAAAGAGCTAAATAAATAGTACACTATTCAGATCACCACAGGCTATCAAAGGGACACAGTGTAAAACTCAGTTTGTAAATCTCCAAACAGTCAATTAGCATACCGGCATGAGCAATGAGAAGACCTTACAGACTCTCCCAAGCAAACACAGTAATTAAAAACAAATTACAGTGCAACCTGGATGTGGTGTTTTACAGTGTACCCCACCTGCCAACCAGAAGTTAAATTCATTCCAAGACTGGCCAATTAACTTCTCCCCCACTGGGTGATTTGGGCTTCTTGTATGAACATCATTTGCAGGGATCCACAACAGATCAGGACTTTTGTGCTCAAAAAGCAATAGACAACCAAGAGACTCCAGTGGGTCTTTATTTGAAGATTCTGCCTCTGCTAGAAATTCTCCTCACGAAGAGATACACTCTGATTTCAACACACTCACACACAAAACAACAATTTCCAGGTTGTAAAAAAGAAAGGAATACTATTACATGTCTTTTCCTGCATGTAATTATAATTAGGAAATAAAGAAAGTGAACACTGGATTTTGACTTCCTCATCAAAGGTCCATGGAAAAAATTCAAGTCAAATGTCTATTGGTGGGCCTGCATTGTGCAATAAATTAAGCCATCGCTTGCAATGCCAGCATCCCATATCAGATTTCTGGTTCCAGTCCTGGCTACTCTACTTCCAACCCATTTTCCTGCTAATGTGACTGGGAAAGCAGTAGAAGAGGACCTAAGTACCTGAGGCTGCTACCACCCTTGTGGGAAGCTTGTGTGAAGCTCTAGGCTCCTGGATTCAGTCTGCCCAGACCTGAATGCTGTGGCTATTTAGAGAGTGAAATATCTCTCTCACTCACTCACTCTGCCTTTCAAATAAATAAATACATCCTTTTTAAAATTCATATGTTTTTCTATGAGATACAAATACATACATTTACTCAGGTAAGGTGAAATTTACTGGTTTATGATTGGTTTGTACATAAGTATAGAAACAAAGTTTAGAATTAAAAGAAATTTATAATCAAGGAAATTGAGATCCAAGTTCACAAAGGGCTGGAAGCAAAGATCATACCTAACAGTCCTTCTCACTTCACTTTCCTCAGAGTGAATTCATATTTATGTGAATACTCATGATGTGTATAGAGTTCAAGCATGTAAACACGGGTTGTCCCCTTCTGTTAGGAGAATCCAATAGCAAATGTCTTTATGGATGGAAAGCACTCTTACTTTATGCCTCAGGGAAAATGAGATCTCAGCTATGTTGTTGTTTTTTTCTTCATAAATTAGGAAAATCTGATCATCCAGTTAACAAGCATTTATTTAACATGATCCATATACCTTGCACAGGGATTGTGACTCTTACAGCAAGAATCATAAATAGACTTCATTTTGAGAAAACCTGTTATTAGCAATGCATTTCTAGAGCTTGAGTCGAGAAAGAAATTGAGGATTTATGTGAACTCAGAATGAGAGTGATTATGTATGGTTTTCACTGACCATAATGAGTACAGAAATGGTAACAAATGTGTTATTTTGATGGCATTCATACTACATGGCTGTTCTTCCAGCTTCAATTTTTCCTACAGATTCTATTTTCAATGTTTCTGTTTAAATGTTTGCCTAAAGTACAAAAAGAATGGCTGTTTAGATAATTACTCTTTCTCATTTCAACATGAAAAGAAGTGAAGCAATCATCCATGGGGCTGGGGTGAGGGTCATACAAATGAAGATCAATTTAAAAAACTAACAGTCTGTTCACTAAGGAAGTACTTTCTAAAGTAGAGTTTGATATTCGTAGCTATAGACCGTGTTAAAAATGATTGCTTTTCTCTAGCTACTGGGACTAAATATAGGGACCATTTCAGAGCGTTCTTTAAAAAAAAACCATTTATTTATTTTGATCTAATCAAAAGTCAGAGCAGCAAAGAAAGGGATATCATTCATTCTTTGACTCACTCCCCAAATGTCTGCAACAGCCAGGGCTGAGCCGGACCAAAGCCAGCAGTCCAGAACGCCACCCAAGTCTCCCATGTGGGTAGCAAGGGTCCCTGCACTTGAGCCATCTTCTGGCTCTCAGAGTGCAATACCAGGAAGCTGTATTGGAAAGGGAGCAGACAGGATTCAAATCGGCACTCTTATATGGGGTGCAGACATCCCGTCAGCAGGTTAACCTACAGTGCTACAACACTCATCTCCAGAACGATTCTTTATTATAAAATTTTGCTTCACCTTATGAGTTAAAATGATTTATTGATAAATCTATTCTTAATAATTAACATACTCTAATTTTACAGTTTATAACATTTTCTAGCTTTATCAAATAAAGGAGTCTTTCTTCATCAAATGAAATCACAGACATACATTAAACATGTTTCTAAGCTGGAAAAAAAGAAAATAAAAATGGTTCTATTATTTCCCTTTGAAAAGGCTTTTTGTAATCAGTACAAGTCTTTCAATGGTGGTTCCTTTAATCATTTGGTTGGTATAAAACCATAAGTGACATGCCTTGGAAATCATGAGGAGAAGCCAAAAAGTCAATATTAAGTTCACTGTAAGAATATGATGAATTTGCACTATTGTCTGGTCTCATTATATTCTTTGTCACAAAAATGAGTTATCACAGAATTATAATGTCTAGTATGTTCTTTTTTATAATACATTCTTATTCACATGACAAGAATTACGACAAGAGGAGAAAATGGACAAAATTAATCCACCCTCCTGACAGAAAATACTACGTCAAATTAACTTGTGACAGGCGAGTGTTTTTGTGAAGGCATTTATTGATGGCATCTGTCTTATCAGTCTACCTACATCAGTTCTTTATGTGCCTCATCAAGGATCTATCATGAGTAGAACCCAGGAACAAACACCTTCTGAAGATAGTTCAGGTGTAAAGGAAAGCAGCGAGGGTCATACAGTACATAATCTTGGAGGGAACTCTAACTAAATCAATAATTCAGATTTTATAGCACCAACCTTGAACAAATTCCAGCCTAGTTTGTCACCATATGAGAAATTCTGCCTCTATATTTGTCAGCAGAAATTCTTTTGTAGATTTTTTATTTTAGGTCTTAATAAAAGGATAGAAATATGTCAACAATAAATCAGTCTATGCCTTATGGTTATCTTTGCTTACTCTTTTATATCTAGCTTATAATCAATATGGAACAGTTCTACAATAATAGGTATAATGCACATTGTCTGACCAAATATGTGAAAAGGCAATGTTATCACTCTCTGCAAGAAATGATGCAGAGGATCTCTGATGGTAGGTAGGTATAATTCATATATGTTCACATATAAATAACTCTGAAAAACATAGACAGGAATGAATGATATAGCGGTTTTAAAAGAAAATTGTTCACAACAGAAAAGGAAGACCTTTCTCTCTGTCTCTCTCTCTCTCTAACTCTGCCTGTCAAAAAAAAAAAGAAAGAAAGAAAGAAAGAAAATTGTTCAGTGATATATGATGAAGCAGAAAGAGAGAGGTCACCAGCATAGGACGAATGATCATCTTCAAAGACTTCATTCTTGGAGAGCATTTACCAAAGTCCAGATTTGGACTCGCTGTAAATCTGGAAACTCATGCATGCTCACTGTGCAAGAAAACTCCCTGAGATACATGTGTCAAACCAGAAGATGATTTCACTTGTTTGCTTTGCTGAAGACAACCAGTGTATTCAATCAGTTTATTTTCAATCACCCATAAAAGAAGATTTGTTTCATTTTTTAAAATGTGCACAGAAAACTAAACAGAGGAAATATTCCTCTTGTCACAAAGAAAATAAGCTATTACTACATTTATGTGTGGGGAAGGGAATGTCTCCCAGGAGAGGAAGACAACTCTGACATTGTGCCTCCATTATCTGTCATTTGCATATGGATTTCTAAGTTAGAAGACAAATGAGAAAAGACTCATATGGAGCTTATCAGATCCCCAGCCACTACACAACTGCAGACACAGCAGAACATGAGGTCCTCAAGTGGGGTGCTCATTGACTGATACCTAAAATACTTTTGTTGGTTCCTTTTCATGAAAAAAAGTAATCTACTACTGTATTGTGCATTCATACCAGATTACATACCCATCTGATTTTCTTCCAAGGTGAACACAAGTAGCATTTAGCTCAAGTGCCATTTCTGTAGGAAGAAACATACGAAACAAATATGACAAATTTATTCAAGTAGTAAGTGCCACATTTTGAAAGTATATAAGCTGCAGTTAAAATCTTGGTTTCAAGAGCTATGCTAATGTTGTTAAAGCATACAAATAAGACATCCACTCTTTTGGGAAGATTTATCCAATGGACATTTACCATTATAATTACCTGTTTCTTGTGGGGAAACACACACTAATTACTTGGCCTAAATTTAGGATGAAAATTTGGGGCCTAGTATCATTATTCTGAAGACTCTTGTCTGTGTTTAAATGAAAAATTGTAATGAACTAGTCAAATCAAATTGAATTTAAGTGCTCTGGGAATTGCTTAATATTTTTAAACAGTAGAACAATATATCTTCTAAAGAACCTGGCACATTCATTATAAACAATTAAATTTTGGAGACTGACTTACTACAGAAGCATATGCTCTGTTAACTTATTCAAGATTACCTTTCACAATAAAACAAAAGAATAATCTCTTGTAAATATGCAACTCACTTGTCCAAATCATTGTCCTGGCACATTATGAGAAATTTAGCAATATTTTATCACCAAAAATAATAAAGCAGGCCATGGTAGTTATTTAAAATACAGTGAGTGTAATAAAGCTCATTGTAGCACTTCCACACTGAGATAAATTAATTCCAAGTTAGAAATGAGGTGTATTAAATTAAAAAAAATACTCCACAATCTCATAAGTCTACCAGGATGAAACACTATGTCTAAGAAGAAAAAATAAATGAGTTAATTAAATCCTTGAATTTTAAATCTTTTACAACTGTACAAATGTTGACCTTTTCCATCATGTCTCTGCCTCTGCACACCTGTGTTAATCAGCTAAGGAAATAATGTAGGCAGCTGCTCTTAATTGTTATACTTCTAGACTTTTCTATTTTGATATTCTTTGACATATTTGGAAACATTCTGGACTACTATGTCATTGGCAATTACTTTTGAGGAGAGCATAATAAATCTTGCTTTTATTTTTTAAAAATGTATCCACAGTTCCATATTGTAGGCTGAGGACAATTTGGCACATTGTCCCTTGAGCATGGCACAGTTCAGGTGTGACTCCACTTTCTCCCACACCTCTCACTTCCCTGTAGACATCGCCATAGTTTGAGCAATGAATACAGAGCTGCTTTCTTCCCTATGTGTCTGAACGCCTTGCAGCTTTCCACAAACATCTCTGATTGTCCTGGAGAGCTCCGGATGAGAAACCAAGATTCATAGTAATGTCTGCAAGAAACTTCTCATATTAAATAATCAGAACTTGTTAGACTTGACTAGACCTTTTGGTAGTTCATTGTCCCCATCCACCTCTTGTCTTTCTCTCCCATAATTTTTAATTCCTTCTCCTCCTCATGAAAAACAAACAATATCCACCCTCTTACACAGTAGAAAAGCCAAGCAAATCCTGTGTCTCTTGGCCTCAGGTACTATCCTGAGTAACAATCAGATCATGTTATTAAAAAAAAATCTTTTCTCCTAAGAGGGATCCTAATGAGGCTTCATCTCATTCCCTTTATATCCCTGTCAACTCCATGCACAGAGATGATTTTCCTTAAATGTTTATTGAATATTTGAACATTTCTTTAACACTGGTGAACTGCCAGGAGCTATCGAGTTCAGAGTAAAACGGTTCTGTATCAATCACCTGTTACACCTGTGATGTGACCTAGGCAAATAATAAGGCTCTCAGACTATCAGTTTCCTTATCCAGGCAATGGAAGCAGAAAATGCAGCTGCATTAAGTCAGAAATCAGCTTTGACATACAAAGAGATAGAATGAGAAAGAACAGTTCCAAGTAATTCAATAATTCTGTCCATTATTTCATGCTATGAAGTTATGCCTACAGTCAATTATATGAAAGGCTGACTCTATCTCTATTGATGCATGTCAGTTAAACCAATGGAAAGAATGGATAAATGATTCTAACAGTATTTTGCAAATGAAATACCGTTCAGGTGGCCCACAAACTGACAGGTGGGCCAAGTAATGACAGCTTCACCATTCTCAAGGGAAATATTAAAAAATTAATAGAGAAACTTGGAAACATTGACAATAGGAGAGTTGAAAGAACTGATAAAATAATCTTCTCTCAATGATGATGATGATAACTAGGGAGAGTTTATCTTTTTTATTTAATTTGTTGAAGTATCCCTAACCAGGAAACACTGAATGATTTAATTTCAGAATATGATCTCTAATTACATACAAAACCAACATTATACACATTATACTATGCATGAATTATTTATATTGCTGAAGATTTCATTGTAGTTATTCTTTAAGTACATTGGATGTACTTAAAAAATTCTATTTTAAAATACAAATTTCAATAAGTATTTCAAAATGAAAATTTCCAGGAGTACATCTAAAGAGTCCTAGAGCTAGAAAAACACATGAGTTCACTGAGTCTCATTTCTTTGTTTCCCAGCAAAAGAAACTGAGATAAAAGATAATTACATTGCACTGCCTTAAATGTGAATAATAATGCAAGACTTTTGTTTGCTAGGCTAAGATATTCATGATTTTTTTATCTTTTCTATCAGTTATTCAACACTAATATCACAGTAGCATGAACTGGGGAGGGGGGGAGTGACTTGGGGGGGGGGGATTGTGCTTAAAATAGCCTGGGATGGTATCTGTCATCTACTCTTATTGTTAAAGTTTTCAAGTGACTCCAGCAGATAGCCAGAGTTCAGAACCCAATGTCTCTTTTTGTATGTAGTATCAGGCTATCTACTTTGACTCCATAGAATTACAGATAAAAGGCAGAGAGCAAACAACACATATTGTGATAAATGTACCCCGTTACTCCTGGAAAGCATACTCAGTGCTGGATCCTAAATAACTAGTTTTCACTGAGCTCCACCAAGATGCTCCATTACTAAAATCAAATCTTCCACTTTTTCTCTCAGTTCAGAAAACCATACTAAGCAAGTGGAATAGCAGGTTCTCAATGTAAATGTTTCTTCATATAATTATTTCCTAATCTTTAATAGATTTAGAGTTTTTCTGTTCTAATATCTAGCATGAGTTGCTATCTGACTAAGCACAAAGATTCATATGCATTTCCTTCCAATTTAATAGACCAATATTTCATTACTTTCCCAACTGCCCAGTAAGCACCACCAATATCAAATGTTTTACCACCTAAACAAAGTGAGAACTACTTCCCTAATTCCATAATCTATACCACTACTTGATTTCAGTTTCCAAACCCAGAAATTGTGTTTTCTTCTAGACTACAGCAACCTTGAAAATAGTAGATACTGAAATTAATGTGTTGTACTATGCAAATTAAAGGTAAAACTAGTACTCAAGCAATACTTTATACTTTGTGTATCTGTGTGGGTGCAAACTGTTGGAATCCTTATTTAGTATATGATAAGTTGATCTTCTGTATATTAAGATAATTAGAAATGAATCTTAATGAAGAATGGGATGGGAGAGGGAGTAGGAGATGGGATGGTTGCAGGTGCGAAGGAAGTTATAGGGGGAAAAACCACTATAATCCAAAAGTTGTACTTTCGAAATTTGTATTTCTTAAATGAAAGTTTAAAAAAAACTTAAATTTATGTTATCTATTCCATTTTTTCAATAATCTATTGTGAATATATTTCTATATTTTTCTACTCATAAATTTCTCAACTTTGTCTCATCCACTTCATCATCTCTAAAAAGTCCCAATTTAGTTAATATTTGAAAAATAAGTTGGAGTAACTAGATAAAAAGCAAAACATGTACACAGTTCTGGAATTAAAAGTGAAAAATGGCTAAACTGGTGGACAAAAAGAAGAGATGATATATAGTGGGTGAATGAGAAGGAGGATGTAAGAGCCAAGATGTAAGAAATGAGGCACAAAGGGAGCCAGCTGACCACCAGCTTGGTGTGGAAACTTCCTTCTTTTAAACCAGATTATATTTCTCCATGATGCTAACCATTACCCTCATCCTCTCCACAATCACCAAAAATTGAAGTCAGAGTCTTAAAGCAGTAAGTATTAAGCAGTAAATTAATCAGGAGATTCATACAAAGATTTTTGGACTTGTGATGCAGAAAGTCAATTATGTGCTTGGCCAAATTTCCCACAAAAAAAAGAGAACATCTTAAGTTGGAATGAAGAATGATGTCCATATACAGAGAACACAAGGATGAGAGACTCCTTCCACGTTAGTTCAGTCTAGGGACTCATGTTTATGTGGCCTAACTTGTTTGTGATGCTTCCTACAGGATTGTTGCTCTCTGTTCAGTATATTTTGAAAAAACATCATCGTTTGCTTGAGCCAAGTCTGTTTGAGATGTTGCCACTTGAAATCCAAACAATCCTAACTCATACATACACTCTGAAGCGTGAGATGTTGCAAGTGACAGATCAGATGGAGTCTGGGTAAAATAAGAGCACCGAGAAAATCCCCAAATCCTGAATTGAGCAGATGGTAGTCCCTGGGACACAGCAGCCAAGCAGTTGGTGAAGCTTTCAATGATTGTCTTTTGGATGCAGATGATGTGCTCTCAGAGTCTGGAGCAACTGAGGACAAGACTCTCAAACGGAAGGAGACAGAGGAATATTGGCTAACTCTTATAAACTTATATATAGTACTATAATAAGAAAGAAAAATGCCAGCACCATCTGGTCCACTTGAAATCAGGTAAGAATAACCAGAGAAATATGGAAAATCTGGTCCACTTTGTGTCTCCAAGAATCTTTTCCTACACAAGTATGATGCCTGTTTACCCAAGAAAATGATATTTCTGATAGGAAATTGACATTGGAATTGGGCTAAACTTTCTAGAGCATTTTCTTTAGTGTGTGGTGACATTTCATTAGGTTGTTAACTGTAGGGATCGAGCAAATACAGCACTGAAGAAGCAGAGGCCAAGGGCCAGGGTAACATAGAGCTTAGACTTGACGTTAATGCATATATGGGATTTCAGCAGAGCCTAAAGGACAGTGAAAATCCCCACAT